ATTTCCCCTCAAGCTGAGGAGGTCCAATGATCCAAGTCTGGGCCAGTGCTCTACTCTGTAGGTTAGGGCTGTCCAACATCAAAGTGGCTGGGGGCTGCAAGCCACACAGGTCATAAGCCTCAGGTTGCACATCTTGCAAGCTTCATGCCTTAGGGGCTACATGGGCTCCCCAGGGCCCCGCTGTTTGAATTCCCCTCAATGTGTAAGCAATGCAATTCCCCCCACTGCCACTGCCATGCAAGCCTCTCTCACTGCCAGCACTGCGTGGATGATTCACCCCCCTCCTCACAACCTGCAGTGTGAGCACTATGAGCCCCTGCCTTCTCCCCACCCTGGCCTCTGCCACCACTATGTGGACAATTCCCCCTTTTAATACTCCTGCTGCTATGTGAGCAGTAAACTCACCAAGCCTTCTGTCTGTGCTATCCTGATGTAGAGACCGTGGCTGCTGCTGCCACTGCAGCAGCTAGAGCAGTAGGACCAATGGCAGCTGGGCAGAAGCTTGGGAGCTGCATTTTAATCCTATGTGGGCTGAAGTGCTGCCAGTTGGAGACAACCCTGCTGTAGGCTATTATATAAAACCTGGACACCATGGATGGTACCATTGCTATCATGTGAGTCCTACTCAGTTACGTACCTATACTAAGATGAGGTCATCACCTCTGGATCTTGAATGGATGGAGGCACCTAAACTTACCAACACACTGGTGTTCAGACAAACCTGTTTCTGTATTTCTTGTTAGCTAGCTCTAGACAACTTGTTGCTAAGCATTTCAGTTCTCTGAACTGCTGCAGCCTATACTGTAGGTATAAATCAGGGTATATGGCTCAGGGGCTGGAGTCCAGCTGCAGGGGGTTAATGGATAATAGGCTGTCTGCTAAGGGGCATTGGGCCAGCTGACATGGATGATTGGCTGGCCCAGAGGAAGTTAAAAGCTCCCAGGGAGGGGAGCTGAAGGGGAGGGAAAGAGGAGCATGGTATGCTAAAGGAAAAAACAAAGAGCCTAGGATCTCCGTCTCCGTCTCCCAAACAGAGATTGCACTTTTCTTTGTTGTTCCACATTTGCTTCTGTTGCTGCTTGCTTTGTTTGCTGTGATGACAAACTTTCCATGTGTACAACAAATGGACTGAAAATTGGAACTAAGAGCTGACTGGCCTTTATGAAGATGCTGGCTCCTGGGTCTACCTCAGTGAATGGCAACCCACTACAAGGTATCTAAGAATTTTGATCTTGTCTGGATTTTGATCTTGGACTTCTTAATATAATCACTGGAAGAAGAGAGAGCCCAATTCAGGAAATGGATTTGTGACAGAGCTGAGTTCCACTTATGAAGTTCTAGCTGTAGGATTAGGTTCATAGGTGACATTCCATTTTCCAAACTCTATGCTGAACCCAAACACTTCTAATAATCTAATGAAAAAATAAATTTGACATGTGTGTCTTGTTACTGTTTACTTTAATTAAGAGTAATTGGTAAATATGAATAGTTATTTGTGTGAAATCAAGATACTTTTCATTTTGAAAAAGTCTTTAGTAGGATTCCCAAGCATCTCTTAGTGAGCACCTAAAAGTGAGAGCTCCCAACAACTCTTTAATAGTGTTTGTCATCTTTTTCTGTTGTGAGATGAAGCCAATATAAATTAAATTTCTCTAAACTATGTATCTAAATAAGTGTATGGTATGTTCATATTATACCAATTGCTTTAATGATAAATTTCCCTCACAAGGTGGAAGGGTTTGTTGACAGACAGAAACACAAGCTAACAATGGACTACTTTGACTTGCAAATGAAGGAGCATTTAATTATTCCAAATAGCATTCCCCAGTTAGGGTATGATCATTAAATCCATCATCCTTCAGTTTATATGCATGAAACATTTATCATGTCTTCCACAAACAGGAGTCAGTCATCTGAATATAGATTTTTGGACCATCCGTTTCATCACGGCATTTCATCGAAAGCCTAGAATTTCATTTATTTTCAGTTACAGAGATAAAGTGTTTGTAAACGATGTGATAAGACCATAAAGAAAAGTGAAGTGAAATTCAGCTCCATCCAAAGATGATAAATACAACACCTACTTTGAACACCAGGATTATTGCAGGAGAAAAATGAGATATCGGAAGTCAGCAGCTATGTTTAAGATAAGAACTTTTTTTTCCTGTGGATTTTTCATTAAATTCATGGCCCAATAAAGAATTCTCTGAATGATTCTATTTAAAAAAAAATAACTGTTATAGACATTAAGACAAAAACATATGGAAGACAACCAAAACTAAAGGAGAGTCAAAGTCATTTGAACTCCAGCTCTTCTGTTGTGGGATTGTTAAGGATTACTGAATTATTTTCAATTACTGAAAGCATGGCAGCATTTCACATGAATTAAAACAGAGAAGTGTAATCTTCAAGCAGTGATTCAAGATATCCAAACCAGAATTCTTTCAGCAAAATTCTCTGATCTTGCCTTATAGGGACTTTCTGTGGGGGTCCTGAAAGATCATTTTAAAACCTTCCTAGGGCCAGTCCATCGTTGCATACTATTACGGGCATTCTAGCAAGATATAGTATCACTATTTAATTCTAGCCTCATCTTTTCATGAGTTCAGTCTGGCAGGATTCATTTTCTCTCTTGCATGCGCCTATTATGTCTTATAGGCAAAGTGGCTGCTTCTCTCCAGGCCACTGCATTCATCCCAATTTTAATTATTGTTCTTACTTTTGTGAGGCAAATCTGAATTATGAGTAATATAATGAGAATGTGCTTGTTTAACTCCTACAGGAACTGTTATGTGCATAGGCAGAGAAAGGGATATTTTCTTTTTGTGTACCAGGATAATAAAGTTTGCTCATTTTTACATTTTTTCCTAATACAACAACCTTGCCGATGAACTTTTATTTCTCTTTCCATGTATCTATCTGGATAAACAAAACCTAAGAAAGACAACTACATAAATAATGTATGTACAGTATGTCCTTGGCTTCTACTTATGCCTACAGGTGTCCTTTCATCACATTAATTTGGCTCGCAAAATGGAAAAGTGTTTATAACCTAAGGGTTAGCTTGTATAACAAAAGAAGTTAAAAAATAAAGCATGGAAAAGGAGGAAGACACTAGGTTCTGTTTGAAGTTTCTCTAAACGGCTGTTCTTTGGGGCACAAGAGACCATATATCTCAACTGCATATATGTATCACAGACAAAAACTAAGTTAGGAGAATGTTGTTACCAAGTCAATACCTCAAAATTTAGGGAAAAAAACAGATTTAAGCTTGCCTGTGCAACCTTTGTATGACCCCTTGTGGGTTTGCTTACTAGTACATTCTTTGCACACAATAATGAATGTATCTTTATAGCTTGGATTGTAAGAAGAATTGATATCACCCCCATTTTAGAGATGAGAAACTGAAACACAGATAAATTAAGGCCAAAACTGTAAAAAGCAGTCACGCTAATATTGGTTGCCCAGCTAGAGACAGCTAGGGCCTGGATTTGCCAAAATAGTTTGCATTTTTATAGCACTTTTTATGTTTAAAGCACAGCCCCTGTTGACTTGAATTGCAGTTGTGAATACTCAGCACTTCTTCAAATCTGGCCCCTGGAGTCTCAAGTTAAGCACCCAGAAAATGAAGAACATACCATTAGTGTCCAAATGTGAAAAGCTTCGTTTAAATGACTTGCCCATCATCTCAGTAGTACTGTCTGGCAGAGAGAGAATCCAATTCTCCAGGCTAGCATTCAACTGCTTCAACCACGAGGCCATCCTTTCACTTCCTGCCTCATTCACTTCACACCTGCCAACTGCTGCAACAAATGAAGCTGGGGGCCCTACAGACAACAATCTCCTTTGCTATGCAACCTGATTAGTTTACATAACATGGTCCATCTTGTGCCATATATGTGGAAGGAAAAAAACATTGTATCATGCAATTATAGATCATACCAATATGAATATATACAAGAGGACTCAACAGAGATTATAGAGGCAACTTTAATTTTGGCATTTGCAAGCATTTCAGCGTTTCACTTTGCTATCTCACATTCTTTTAATATAGGATTCTGGGATGTAGGTTTCTATTTTATTTTTAAAAATACTATATAAAATCAGGAATTATACCAGGAAGAAACATAACCCTCATATGAATCATCAGCAAGATTTGGACCTTGCGATGCACAGATTAGATCTCTACTGCTTGTGTTCATGGAATAGAAAAGAGACATTTCACTGATGCGGGTCCTTTACAGGAAGGGGATAAGATACACTATTTCAGTATGTGTTACAGTGAAAAGTGGATAGTAGAGAAATGTTGAAATTTAGGAATCTTGGATTGTATTCCAGGTCCTGGAAGGAGTTGTGCTTTATTACTTATCAACACTACTGTCCATCTCCTTGGCTTCTGACCTGCCCATCCATCTACCCACATACGGCTTTGCCCCTCTCCTCTGCTCCTTTCCTACCCTTCACTCCTGTCCCCCACTTCCTTTAACTCCTGCTCTGCTCATGTAGTTGTCATGGGTGATTTTAATTACCCAGACATCTGCTGGGAGGAACAGTCAGCCAGGAGGTTCCTAGCTGAGATACAGGACCTCCACTTAATCCAGGAGGTGCACAGTCCCACCAGAGGAATCGCCCTGTTGGACCTGGTCCTGGCCACAGGCGATGACCTGGTAAGGGGCCTCCAGGTTCTTGACCACCTGGGCAATAGTGATCATCGCTTGCTGGAATTCACCATCCAGCGCAGGGTGTCAAGGGCCTGCAGCAAGACGGTAGCCCTAGACTTTAGGAGGGCCAACTTCAACAAGTTGAGGAGACTAGTGGGGGAGGCGCTGGGATCCTTGAGGGCAGGGGAACTCAGTGTCCAGGACGAGTGGTCGTTCCTTAAGGAAACAATACTCAGGGCCCAAGGGGAGTCCATCCCAACAAGAAGCAAGGGGGGCAAGGGTGCCCGAAAGCCCCCCTGGCTCACCAAGGGC